AAAACAAACTTTTGGGTGTTTCATTCCCACCAACCACTAATACTGGTGGGCGGACAGTCCCTCCGGACTATGTCGGAAGGTAGGACGGAAGGCCCTCTTCAGCCTACTTTCAAGAATCGTAGGAATAGGTGGGTGGTGGTTCGGGCGAGAAAGATGAGAGGGACAAAATGAAGACAGAGGAGAATGAATGATTATCTGTGCAATATTATTGTCCCAGCATTAGCGTAAGTGATCCAAGGAAACTACAGAAAAACTTGAACCAAGGCAAACGTATCCGGAATGGAACCGGCGTCCTCCCGAATGCTAAGCAATGGTCTAAAATTCTAGACAATGCCGCTCAGTATAGTGGGTAAAAGCTCCCACGTACTGTTAATAAATAAATACATACACAGGCAGTGGGAAATTTAGCTCGTCATAACGACAGGCAGAAGAATTCATCAGGGTCAAAATGTAAATTCGGTCGCTCCGTTCAAATCTATCGAAAATAGTGTATGTAAATTCGACCGAAAAGGATGGTAAACATCTCGATTAGTATGCTCACCTTCTCCCCTCTCTGTGAGAGTATTCATTCCTTTTGTACAAAATAAACTTATTTTTGGATTTATTCATTTAGCTATGAGTTGGGGTTAGTTATTTTATTTACTTTCTTTCATCTCCCAATATGGGTTTCTGCCTCCAACATACACATATATGGTCACGTGTGAGTAGCCCACTATATGTGCAGAAGCGTCAAGAGGCGTATGGTGGATTGGCTAGATTGTGCTTGTAACAAAAATGATCAGAATCTCTAAAATGTGCACTCTGGAATCATTCTAAAATAACAAGATCAGCTCCTATAAATAGTTGCCCCAAGGTCGAAAGAAACAATTCTAGTTCTTGTTCTAGTAACAAAGAGCAATGAAAGCAACCCAGAACAGGCCTCCTAACACTTATTCCTGTATGGTGGGTTGACACATACTAATCGAGACATTTATTAAACAGATTTTCAATTTTACACTGAAGATTTTTAGTAAATGCGAAGTAATAATCAAGTTTTATTGAATTTTTTTATTGAACCAATATCGAGTACCAATGTCTACAATCCACTGCCTTAATTGCTTGGTAGTTTTATCACTTTTATTGTTCACTGTTTACGAAAATTTTTATTTCTGTAAATGATAAATTATTCATGTAAGAATATTTATATTTACACGCAATTATCATGTAAATCATTTTTCAACAATTATCCTTAGAATTATATATGTATAATAAACCACGCATACTTGTATAAATGTTTATTAATTAAAAAGGTTTTCTTCTCTATTCAAATTCGAAATAGAACTATCGAATAAGAAATCTGCAGTGAAGTATTATAGATCTAAATGTTTTGTTTATCTACATTAATGTAATTTCAATTAGAAAATAATAACCTTGTTTTGCGGATTTAGCGGCATATTCTACAGTAACTTTACGGCAACACTGAGTTATCAAAGTATCTACTTATTGTATTTGTTCGCGGCTTTAAAATTATATTACAGTCAGGAAAGTTTCCAACTTCTGTGAGTTTAGATTTAGAACAAGAAAATACGTCTTTAAAAAATGTATTTGTTACGTATTTAAACACCTTCTCGCTCTATTAGTACTTTTATTTAACTATTTGCTGTCTAATTAATACTTCCATTATTAATTAGTTATCAATTCACTACTACTAGGTATATGAACACTTTGTCACTTCTTCGCTTTGTATCGCCTCGAACTCGTTCTCCTACTAACTCACTCGATCTCGCGACAAATATTTATAGAGACTGACCGTGTTCTAGAATGGTCTAGTAGACGCCGTCTAGAAACTTGATCTTCTTTGACATTTATATTTATGAGCGCCTACTATCTTGTGCAGATTTATGTGAGTTTGAAAAGTTAAGGTGCGTAGTTTTTCCTCTAACTATTAGTCATTATTTTTAATAAAGTTGAAAGTATTTGGGGCGAAGAAGATGAGACAGATGAAATGAAAGAAAAAGGGAGTGAAAGAGTATTTGCGGAATATTAATGCTTCGGTATATGCCTAAGTGATCCAAGGAAGGCTCAGAAAAACTTGAACCAGGGAAGACGAACTCGAATCGATTCGGGAGAACATCTGTTCCATTCGGGATGTGCCTGTCATGGTTAAGGAGTACCGAATGGGGGCAGAGGGTCCCGAACCTTCGACCAGGATCGACAGTGAAAACCTTGATCTTTTTATAGTAGTATGGTGAGGAGTAGGGGGGGGTAAGAATTTTAATAATTTAGGTAGATACGTTATGAACAATTTAAATAACATCTCTTTATTGCGGAAATAGGAAGTGCAGCAAATTTAGAGTTTGTTTCGATTGGCGCAAATTCACGCTACGATAGTGTCTTTTGATTATTTTTAAGATATTCTTCTGCTTAATTGATCTCTCTTATTGTTAGATATAAATTGCCAGTTAGAGCTCTTTTCAAGGTAGGAAGAATGTAATTCTTGCTAACAAGATTAACTGTTTGATATCATTAAATCGAGAAATCTACGGATGTCTAATGAAGATTATATTAATTTCTAAGGTAAGACTGTTAATAGGAAAGAAACAAAAAACGACAAAGAGAAGCTTCTAATTAGTGCAACCTACGAACAAATGAAACAGGATAAAAGAAGAATAGAATCGTATCCCCTTAGATGCTTAGATTTACCGTCTAAGTAATATTCTAATAAAAACCAATAAGGTGTTAATTACAAAAAAAAATTATTAGGAGTGCTTAAAAAGTCAGGATTCAGTTCTTTCATTTCGCTAAGAATTAGCGATTTCTGTTTATCAAAATAAAATAAAATGTGAAAAGGAATAATTATCACTAACTCACCTGAGGTGGCATTTTCACAAGTTTCTTTTATAATTTGTAAAATGTCCTCGACTGAAGAGATGCCCTTATCTGAAGAGTTCACGTTCATACTTGTTTTTCTGGAACAAATGTAGAAATGCTTGAATTAATGGGTAATATTCAATGATTTATTCATTATCAAACATATTTTCTTGTACTTTGAAAGTATATACATTTCGTCCTTATTATTTCACTAAAGACTTATCTTTTTTTTAATGGAAAAATAACACTCAGTGCATGACATACTTTAAACATATTTCTGTTAATTTTGTATACGTACTTAATTTTTAATATAGGAATTTGATTGCTAAGCTGAACTAATTGTATTTGGGCAAAAGAACCGCTTTCTTGAATCAGAAAAATCAAATCAATCAAATCAAAAAAATTTAGAAAATACTTTCCTCGGTAGCAGTTTTTATAAATTTGATTTTGTACCAAAAAATTGATCTATTCTGAATACTTATGGGCTGAAAAAACATGGTGGTAAGTTAAATAGAGGTAGATCTACACTAATCTTCTAATAAATAGAGTATCAAGGGTTAGACTGTATATATACGAGGGCGGTTCAATAAGTACCCGTGTTAGAAATGAAGACACCTTTTTTTTTAAAATTTGTTTTTTTATTTTTCAACATAGTCTCCTTTTAGAAAGATACACTTCANTATTATTCCAAAAAAAAAAAAACATTTAATAACTTATTTTCTCTACAAGATTCAGTTAGGGCATTTTATATTCGAAAAGGGCCTTTAAAGGGCAATTTTTAAGTCACCACATCTTAATTAAAAATTTAATCAAAAAAAGAAAGTAACGTTACGCTAACTTCCCTTTACTAATGCGAATTCCAGTTAAAGTTACCTTAAAGATGAATTCGTACATTACCTTAAGGGAGAATTAAATCTATTTAGTACCTAACATCCTTCCCGTTTAAAATTCAAACAAACAACAAATTAGTTTATCCCTACTTTAAACCGACACATTACATAGGGAATGCCTATACAAAATTGTCCCTGGAATTTTACCTGAACAGTACTTCTAAAGCAACTTTTAAATTAGCTTTCCGAAATAACGTTCCAAAGAAAAGTTTACCATTTCAATGCCTAGCATACTTATGCAGTATACAATAATTTACGAATCGTTTTGTAGCCTTTGTTTGCAAATAATTGATGTGTTATACCAAACTTTCTGTTATTTCTGTTTAATGGAAAATGCAGCGTAGATCAATAAATAACATAAAAACCGTAATGTTTCAGATACGTTTACTTTGGCATTTGATAATATTGGAAAATGTAAATAGCTAGAGATAAGAAGCTTCTTAAATTAGATGGCACGTAGCCAATTCTGAGGTATAACAGTCTGCTCGAATCAGCAACTAAATACAGATTTACAAAATAAACTAATTTAGGTAGGTATACCTTAGAAACCTTAATAATATTAGTACACAACAAACTTAATAACAGAGTTTGATAGGTTATAAAATACCTTCACTGATTTAAAATACTTAATCTGATCAGTAGAGTTCTTGACCATGCGTATTTATTTCATACCTCAAATTTTAGAATTGAATATTCAAAACTGGGGCGCTTTCCTACTTTATTCAAAACTACTGTGTGATGGTATTCAACCTATTTATTTATCTTTTTTTATTTAAAAAAGATTCGCAACTCAAAAATTCTTATGAACCGTTGTCAATAGGAAGCTTTAAGCAATTGAATAGTATTTATTATTGCAGATTTTAATGATGTTTGATATTTATTTAGTTCAGTTTACAAACCCCTCAAACGTTACATAACACTGATGTTAGTTCTCCAACTGAAGGTTGATTCTCTCTATACATTCCGTTTCAATTACTTACTTTATTCCGTAAACGTTCCATACAATTTGACAATATTCACATTTGAACGGTACGTTTCCTACACGTAGATAATGTAAAGGCGATTCGAACTAGGTACATGGTCCGAAGAAAATTTAATATTAACAATAAAATGCATTCTAATGGAAAATGAGGAAAAGGCAGACAGGTGGAAAGAATATCTACTTTAGAAAACCTATACGCAGGTCATGAGTTAGGAGAAATATTAGAGAAGAAAAATAGGTGAACTAGGGGACACATGCAGAAATTTTAAAACACACAAATATAAAGATAGGAAAGGAACGATTGGAAGAAGTGACTGAAGGAATAGTAGTGGTATAAATCAGAGGATAGTGCAGGGTCGAGTCACCTTCAAGTCACTTCTATGCTCGCGAACGATTACTTTAGAAATTCGAAAAAGATTGTTAAAGGTGTATGTTTGGAGCGCAGCGCTGTATGGGTGCGAAACATGGACGGTGATTGCAACGGAAAGAAATGGTTAGAAGCGTTCGAAGTGTGGTGTTACTGGAGAATAATGAGGATACCGTGGATAGAGAAGGTCAGAAATGAAGAGGTATTAGAAAGATTAGGAGAATAGAGGACTCTAAGGAAGTCAATAAAAATTAGATAGTATAGATTAGTAGGACACCTTCTCAGACATGAAGGTCTAGTCAGAGACATATTAGAGGCAGAAACGGAAGTTAAGAGGAGTAGAGGTAGACTTATATTAAATTATTGTTCGCAAATAGTTAAGGATGTGGGATGTTCTAGTTTTACGGAAATGTGAAGATTAGGTCGGGGTAGGAAGGAGTCGAGTGTCGAATCAATCTTAGGACTGATGACCTTAGATGATGATGATGAATAAAATGCAGAAGCGTCTTTGAATTCATCATAATAAGTACACTGAAGGAATGAGATATCGATTAGTGGAGTTATTATACACATGTTACAAAGCTGACGTGCATGATCTTGTGGTTAGTGTCTAATCTTATTATGCCTAATTCTGTCGGATTTTCCATTAAATCTGATTTTTCTCGGAGGCGGTTGAAATCGCTGAAGAAAATTAATAATGTTGATAAATAAACAGGAACTACATCATTGTCCCACCAATGTTCTGCAAGGTAACAAATTATTACCAATGTATCAACAACAGCTATTGGAATTTTTAGACTAATACGGATATGGAATGGAAATGGAATGTATATTGATAATCGGTTTGGTGTGGGACGTTGGTGAGGGTTAAAATTAGACGTACTTATGAATACCTACTAGTCACAAGATTGTGTACATTACGTTGATGTTCTAAATATGTGTTAAAAATCATCGAAAGTACAATAATCTAGTAAATAGTCCCGACCAGGATCATCAAGATAAAACTAAAGTTTCTAATTTTCAACGGTTAAACATATGCTTTACGTAGAATGACAATCACAGTTCTTCTTTATCGAGATTGAAATTTTTATTTTTGTGTCTCTCGGGAATAGAAATTTTTTTCTGTGTAGAAGGTATCCTATGTAATTTTCTGTAGCCCTGGTAATGCGTGTACAAAATTTCATGACGATCGGTTCAGTAGTTAAGGCGTGAAAGGGTAGTAAACAAATAAACTCACAATCGCATTTATATTATATTATTTAGAATGTAATAAATCAATAAAACCATTTTTCAATATTGCTTTCTTTCCATTCCTTTTTTTTTTGCAAATTCTCGTCTTCACGGAAAGCCTCAATTCCGTCCCGGACAGCATATCAATGTAAATTCCGTCTCGGCGATTTTTATTACTATACGCAAATTCCGTCCGATATGTACCGGCACTTAATGAGTGCGATAAAAGTAATGCGGCGATTTGAAAACCTTGCAAACGCTATCGTAGATAATATTTTAAAGTCTCTGCTATAGCAAAAAATTAAATTAGTTGGTATCATTCGAAATATACGAATAAGAAAACTGCCCTTATTTCTGGAGGAAAAGCTACCTCATCAGATATATAATTTTATAGTATATAATCACAAATAACATTTCCTTGTCCATTTTCTGGAAGAAGTATCATTAAATAGTCAGTGGAAACATGAACGACATCGTTAGGTCTAAGAATCAAAAGCCAAAAAAAAAACTTTTTCTATACCGGGCTTGGCCTAGATGAAAACAACAACCTGTCATCCTTGATTTAATCAAAACAAGTTGCATTACAGTATGAATTGCGTTTTCGATATCCATAAAAATGTTTCATGATTCATTTGAATCATTTAATATAGATCTTTGAAATTTTATCAGGAAGTAATAAAAATACGAGAGGTAGGTACATATGAATCTTGTTGCAATGCATGAAAAGTAATTATGTAGTAAAAATATTTGGGATGGCTTCTAAATGTAGCATCCACTTATACATTGGTCGCACAATAAAGTATACTTCATTTACTTTCTGTAGCGATGTGCGCTTTCCAATGTCTTGGAAGAGCGCTGGCAAAATCGTAGGTAGGGAGAAAAAAGCTCATTATACTCTCGACTCTTGTTCATTAAACATACTTTTTCATACAGTACCTGCCAAAAGTTTTGTTCAATCATGAATAGTAGTGCGAGTCGAAAACAAGCGTTAAAGCCTTTAATA